TAAAATCTTATTTTAGTTTTAGTGTTAGGATTTGTCTCCCTTAGTTGTCTTTGGGCTTGGTTTAGAGGGTGGTAAGTGTGTCAAACATGTCAAGTGCCTTATTTGGATTGTGGGAATATTAAAGGGCATTGAATGTTGCTTTAGGATGCACTTGTCTTTATAGAAGTGTGTCCAAAATATCAATGCCTACATCCCTTTTTTGTATTTGATTTTCGTTTTCTTCCTTTCTTTTGCGTTTAATCTCCTATTGCCTTGCTTTTAGTGTTTCTTTGTTATTTCTTTGGTGCCTTGATGCTACACACTTGCAAACTAAGGAGAATCTAAAAGACAAGTGGCCCAACAAATAACTAAAAGGTTCATTCTTCTTCTTTCCTTGCATTTTCATTCTTACATATTATTAACTGCTTATAAAACTGCTCTAATCCCTCTTTCTTCTATGACATGCGAGGTACCTGTTGGAGAGCAATGGGCAAGGAGCATGGGAACACTTGGAGTTGGAGCTAGGACAATCGGATCCAAGCATCAGTCGTCCCTACCCATCTGGTAGGGGCGCTACGGGCGGAACCACCGGGTCATAGCCCCCGGTGCTGTAAGTTTACTAAAAAACTTAGAAAACCTTTAGGGGCCTAGATGATTGTACGCCTCCTTCCCTTAGGGCCTTAGAAACTTCAATTATATCTAGGATTGCTATTGCTTTTCTTATTTAGATCCCTAAAATCCTATGACATCCGTGTAGAAGTCTTAGGAATTAGAAAAACAACACCATTTTTAGTCCTACAACACCAGTGACATCTAAGGACAAAAATTAAGGACCGAGTCCTAGAAAACATAGACTTAGGGTGCATGCTCCCTATAGGATAGAGATATTAAAACAACAACTTAGTGACACGTTTTCCTATATTTAGATTTTGTTTTCTTAATTCGTTAATAATCAACCAATCAATCCTAATCTAATTCTTAAAATCTATTAAAACACTTAATTCTTAATTAAATCATTATTAACATTCTATAATCATTAAACTTTAAAATCTAAAATGCAAACCTAAATCAATCATAACTAATTTAATAATTGATTCATAACCAATCTAAATCTAAAAGATGTAGATTAAATTAGGAGATTGAATTACAAACTAAACTCACTAGGATAAAAGATTCTTAAAGATCAAACTTAGAATAATCTGTTAAAAGCAATCAACAAATCCCTTAATACACAACAACCACTCCAGAAGTGAAGTTTATTGGATGGACTACTCCGGGCTGCGGGGCTAAGTGTCCTAAGGAGGCTGGTTCCTCGAGCCTGGTGGCACAACGCCACGAATGGATCTAATGGAGCGCAAAACCTAAAATTAAATGTTCCTAATTGGCTTAATTCAAATCTTGATTAATAAAATGTTTAATATATCCTTTTTCTTTTCTTTTAATAACAAACTAAAACAATAATTCAACAAAGTTAATTATCACTGGGTAACCCAGGCCTACGAGGCTATTAAGTTAGCCCCAAGGAGGGTGAAATAAACCTCACGACCTCGGTGTGAAACAAAGGTGGTAATTAATTAAACATTAAAAATAAAAGATACCTAAAATCAATCCTAAAACACTAATATTTGAACTTTAACCAAAATCTTTCTTTTGCCCCTTTCAACAGACAAAAATTATACAAACAATTCTAACTAAACTATCCCATATAGGACCTACCAAAACCCCATAGCTTTCACACACTTAGATGAGTTTGATAGGACACGACTTTTAGCTTTAGGTTAGAATGTTATTCTGCTTTTCTTTTCTGTGCTGTGCTGTGACGCTCTGCATGTGATCCGTGTGCTGTTTGTTCTTGCTACTTGTTGTAGCTTTTCTGTGACGTTTTTTTTTTTTGTACTTTTCTTTTCTGCACTGTGGTTGTGAGCGCTAGAATACCCATAGGTTAGGCACGCTTTTTCATACTAATACTGTCTTCCTGCAGGTGGCCGTGCTTACACCGCGCTAAAAAGGGGGCTAAAATTAATAATAATAAATGTGTAACTGCTTTAGGTACTTGCTTCAGCTGCTTAGCCCCCAATAATCAAAGCACGGCCAAGTGTGATTTATTTTTCAGCATTTTTATATATATAACTGCTTGGATGAATTTTTATAACTGCTTAGGATAACCCCTGCAGGAGAGTCTAGATTTTCTACTTTTAATAATGTAATGTATTCGATAGTAAATTTTGTAAAAATCGTTAAAATGAGGCATTTTTAAAGAGATAGGAATCCAAAGGGAAAAGTAAACCCCCACAGAGGGTTTGAAGAGATTCAATCGTATCGTAGATTTCAACGGCCACGTCTCTGATAAACTTTCCAAGCTCTGATTGCCCATCAAACTAAAATGTCCTTCGAGCTACAACATCACATGACCACCCCTAGAGGTAAAATGGGAAAAATATAAATATAAATAAACTAGTACATAAAACACATCAAAAAAAACTCCAGATCATAGCCATAATCTCTGATGTCCTCATCACAGTCGGTAGGAGTGAAGGTCGGGAAGTCTTGGGTGTAGATCGGGACGACAAGACAGATTGGCTCACGTGAGAGAGGACAGGAGATACAGGAGGAGCTTGTAGATTGCATGGGAAGGTAGGTTGTGAGTTTGAGCGTGGAAGAAACATGAAACGAATGAAAGCATCTTTCGATTCTTTTTAATGAAACAAAATGTTGAGTCGGCACAGGATTGAGCAAGAATCGAGCATGCAGGATGGGCAACTATGGCCTGTTCAGAAACGACGTCGAACTACAGTATATGGAGCAATTGTAGAAGGCGGCAGGATATGATTGAGTAGGATTTAAGGAATATAAAAAAAATTATTTTATTTAATATATACATAATATATATTATATAACTATAAGTTGACCCCCAAGATTTTCTTGTTATTTGCTTGTCATCGCCTTGGTTTGCGTGCTGATTATAGTCATTTTTGGTGTTACTGGCATTCCAAACGCAACGCCAAAGCCCGTTTTGCGATCGGACGTTGTTTAGGCAGCGTAGTGAGTCATTTTTGTTTGTCGGTCGCCAATTTTGACCATTTTCGCTCGATTTGACAGTGAGGGGCTCCCTCTCGAATAAATTCAATGATCCGATCGCAACGGCGCAATCCATTTGGTAATCAGAGGTAATTTGACCATGTAAGTGATGTGTCGCGCCCACCGACCATCACTCTAGTCACCGATTTCAATCCCTTTGCTCACGTTGATTTGGCAAATGTGTGGAGGTCAACAGTAAATTAAAAAAATGAGGATTTTATAGGAGCTAGCTAATATATATATATATATATATATATATATATATATATATAATATATAATATAGACTAACTCATTAATTGAATATATATTTATTTATATAATAATTAAATAATAAATTAATCTCTTGTTACACACTTAATGAAGTTTGATTCGGATGTTGAATAGCTCGTTTTGACCGTCCAAACAATTTGATCACTCTTGTGCATTCCATTTTGCAAAGCAAAGCCCATATAAAAGATTTTAACATAGACGAATATTTTATACAAATAAAACTTCGCGCGCACAGAAACATGTAAAAACTTCGGTGAATCATCTTTGCACCCGTCACATGCATCCACAAATATGATGACAAATGGCAACTCGGAATTCTATTCCAATTATGACGGCGAATCAAGGTGCCCACGAGTGACTCAAGCTATCGATACGTGCTATCAAGCAAAAAAACTCATGAATTGGACTTGATTGATGGCTTCAAGGCCAACGACGATCATAATTGCTGGAAGAATATGCTACCAAGCGCGAAGATGGGTCCATGAAGATATGCGCTAAAAATGAGGTCAACATGTGGGTGACGAGATGGTATTGGAGTGTTATTAAT